AGATAACCTTGAAGGGCGCAGCACAAAGGCAACACTTAACAATATGATGCCAACAACACACACACACACACACACTATCACACACTCACGTACACGTAGACACATGCAATTATAGGCAAGACACGCAACACAATGAAGCTAAGCTCTAAGCTGAAATCTTGATAACAAAGTAAATAATACAAATTCTCGCAATTTTCCTGTAATTAACACATCCCCCAACAAAACAGCTGGCAAAAGGCAGACACACACACACACAAACACACACACAGGCAGACGCGCACTTGAGCGTGTATTAGTGTTGAGTGAAAGCCTGACAGGATTGCGTGCTGCAGGCATGAAACGAGAAGCCTGTTTGGGAGCTGCTTGTGGAGGGTTGCCAGCAGCGCGCTCGCATTTACAGCTCATACACAAAAGTGTTGTCAGCTCGCATTTTTATGAGGTGTGTGAACGCGAGGACGCGCCTGTGTGTGTGTGCGTGTGTGTGTGTGTGTGTGAGAGGACATGCAACCTGTGTTTGTTTATGAGCTCATGTCAAGTTTAAGTGGCGTCTCTCAGCGGCGCTTGTCTCCGCTCACTACCGACCCGCCCCGCCCGCGCGCTCTCTCTCTCTCTATCTCTCTCTCTCTCGTTATCTACACCCTCAAATGGCAAATTGGCACGTCACTTGCACTGTCTTTTGTTGTGTGTTTAGTGTTTGCAATTTGTCAGGCGGACAAGTGTGAAAAAAGCACAGCATAAGGCAGCGTGTTAATCATGTAAAAAGCAATTAAAAGCAAGACCAACACGAGCGCCCACATGCAGCCCGGCCCCGCCCCACTTTGACAGCAGCTCTTCGCCCATTATTGCAACATTTTGCATGTGAAATCAATTGAGGCCAAAAATCGGACAACAAATGCAGACGGAACAATGATAAAAATATAACAACAGCAGCATTATTTATTATAATAATTTCATTGAATAAATTGAATATTGATTGATGAATGCGTTCAACATTTGTGACATTTATTCATGTTTTTCATGTCTGCATTCATGCGTTAAGTTCCATAAATTAATTGCTATAAAAATGACAACGACATTTGTTTATCTTCTCTGTAACAAAAACAAAGGAAGCGGCCACGCCCTTAAATACACAGAAACTAACAGTTAATTTATGGGCCAGGAGCCATTAGCTTGGATGAGCATATACACTGGCAGAAAAATTCAAAAATTTGACAATTATATTTTAATAAGTTTCTCAAGTTTAAAGTGAAAGGAACTTATGTGAAATTTCATTAAAGAAAACTTTAATTTAATTGCAATGAAATGTTTTTTTTATTGAAAACTTCCTTTAATTGAAATGAAATAAAATGATCAGACTAAGAAGTTGTAATAAAAGTTCACAAGAGAATGTGTTATGTTTATTAGAATGGTGCAAACCTTGCTTCAAGTGTTTTGTACTTAATTTAAGGGATTATAAAACTTTATTTAAGTTACTGTCAGTTCTAAAGTCTTAAACAGTTCAGACTTAAACTAAGAATATTACGAATTAATATTCTTTATGTAGACTTCCACACAGTACTCGGGGCTAAGAAATTGTACACTTTCTGAGAGAATGCCTTAAACTTATTTAAAGCATGTAAACTCTTGTTTTGAGTTCGTTACATTTAATGCGAGTCACTTTTGTATTTATAGCATTTACTGAACATATTGAAATTAACAATGGTTGGGCTCAGCTTAAAAAAATATATAAAAACCCAAAGAAGTTGGATATTTTAAGAACAAAACAGCATGCAATTTTATGTCTTTTAATGCTTGAGTTTATAACAGCATTTTTGTGCAGTGTAGTAGTGTTTTGTATTATTTTATGTCCTTATATATCTTTGGTTCCTTTCAGTATCCCATATCAGAAATATATATTTCTAGCATTTTATTTGAAATAATTTTTTGCTTCCTTTATTATGCAAAGTTTCTTGTGCGAAACAGACTGCTTTATAATAATTGTTAATTTTTTTTATATTATGTATTCTCGAGAAATTGACAAACTACAGATTTTAGTTTAAGTTCTCCAGAAATATCAATTTCCATGTTTCCCTTGCTTGTTTAACTATCTATTAATAGACAATTAATAATCATAGATTTTTTAATCTTTAATTTGTTTGTCTAGGTTTTTCAATTCTTAACTTTGGTTCGTACCTTCAATGGTTATCAATTTGGCGCATAGATTTATTTGTTTTGGGCCTTTTGCCTTGAATTGCTTTTGCGCCTTTTTACTGTCTTCGCATTTGCTGTCTATTCGCTTTTAATTGTCTTTGTATTGTGGAATTTTTATTGTTGTTTTTGATGGTTGTTGTTTTTGTTGCATTCCTTTCGCTTTGCTTTGATTTTCATTGGTTTTCGTGGCGCGTAAATAAATTTCGTATCATGACATTTATTACTGACCCTTAAGCTTGGCAGCCCACAACAAGGCCCACACCAATACATTCCCAAGTGTGTGTTTGTATGTGTGTGTGTGTGTGTGTGTGTGTGGCCAAGCAGATTATGCCGCACATAGCCCACAGGATCTGGCAGGATCTGCATGCGGCTGCGTCGTTTGGTTACAATTTTCATTTCAGATTTGCTTTGCCCGCTTTGTGTTTTTTCTCATTGTTTCTTTGGCCTCGCATTTTGATTTATTTTAGCACTCAATGGGGGCTGGGCTGCCTATTTGAGGGCGTGGCAGGCAGCAGAGAAAAAAAACTGTGCGAACAATAAGCAGGAGGAGGCACGCGAATGAATATGAATGTGAATGTGAATGTGAATGAATGCAAAGATGAAGATTAAATGTAAGTGGACGACACAGAAAACAATTGTAGTTAATTTACGCATAAGAAATTAATGAAAACGAAAAGAAACAAAGGGAGGAAAAATTAAAAAAAAAAAACAACAAAAAATAGGTAAAGAATTGTAAAACATGATTTTTTTGCTCGGGCCGCAGGCCTCAGCGCGTATCTTTTAAAGTTAACTTGACTGTGAAATAAGCTGAGCAAACAGCCAACGCATTGTCTTTGTCCCGTCTGCATAATTTATTTATGTTTTCATCTTCAGATACGAGCACCCGCCCCCAACCCCGCCCCCAACTCCACTCTAGCCATACAGCGGCAGTTAATAGCGAAGAAAATGCCAGCAATTCCGCCTGAGCAAATAATTACAGGGCTTAATAACAAATTTAATATTGTTCGGGCCAAGGACGCGACGCTAGGCCTCTGTGTTTTATTTGTTTATTTTTATTTTTATATTTATTTTTTAACCCCTTGAATGAAGGCTGGCTCTGCTCTTAACCGCCCCCCTCTTAACTGTTGATTTTCTGCTCATACGTTTTATGCGTTTTAATGAGTCTGTTCTTCTGCGCTTCAATAACAATGGGCATGTCCTGGCCCTGCCGCATCTTTATGCCTTATGCACTGACCCTTTCATTTGTTGTTCATCCCCCACCCCACACACACACACTCTTAAACACACACACACGCTAACACCCTTTGACCTGCCTTGTTTGCAGCTTTAAGTTGTCTGAAGAGCTGTTGGCCTTGCAATTAGTTGTTGCTCTCTACAAAAATTTCCATTTCCATCTGATGTATCCTTTGTCAGTTGTTTTCTATCTGGCTGCAGTTGCCGTGTGTGCAAGCCCTTCAGAATTGCTTAACAACTCTTGAAATGTGAGAATTTCAAATGTTGCTCCAGCTAATTGCGTACAAGTGCTCGAGCAAATTCTCTGAAATTCCTAAAAAGGCCTTCAAGATTTCAACTAAGAGAAATAATCTTATCGAAATAAGGAAAATTCGATGGGAAACCTGCAAAATAAATGGAACAATCAAGACCTTGGCAACATTGCAAAATTGACACTAAGAAAACTTCTCGACCCCATAAATAAAAGTAGCTAAAAGACAAGCTTTTTACCGAATAAAACATATAATTGGATGGTTAAGGGGAATAAGAAGGGAAATCTGCAAGACATTTAACGGATATTTGATAAAGTTTTGGGAGAATACAGTATATGAGTATTACTTGATTTATGGGAAAAATTAAATAAATTGATAATCGAAATATGTTATTCAATTTTTAAGGGAAGAACAGCTTTATTTATCTCAAGTCCGACCGAAAATTATATGCCAATAATGTTGAGGGAAATTCGAAATGAAATCTTCAAAAATAAAAGGAACATTCAAGACCTTAACAACTCCGCGATATTGACACTACGAAAACCTCTACACAATTAAATACACAATTATAAAGTCTTCTCATTATGTAATCAACATATAATATTTAGCATATATTCGCATTTATTGCTTGTTTTTTTTTTGTATATTTTGAAACTCTGGCTATAAACTGTATGTCTTTCACATATATATATATATCTCTATATATAAAACTGTTTGTCCATACTGACTGACCGACTGACTGACTGACTGATTGACTGACTGACTGACTGACTGACTGACTGACTGACTGACTGACTGACTGGGATTGAATTTGAGAGCGAATCGTCACCCACCAAATCTTTGATTTCGGTGTGAAACACCCCTCAAATGAATGTAAACAAAGATCTCTGAAAATGTGTTTGAGGCCGATTGGATAGTCAACAAAAAAGTATCTTATAAACGTTTTTCGCCATTTTTCCACACGTGCGGGCCTCTTGTGACCTCTTCTAAACCTTAAAATTATATGAAATTACAACCATTAACAGATAAGAAGATAAAAGCGAATTTTTCTTATTCGTATTATGTGATGTTTTGATAAACGGAATATTGTTAATGATGATTCCCCCTTATTAATTCATTTTTGCCACGGCTCTGTCATTTGTTATCAGCCACTCGCATACGCACACATAAATGCATATTATGCATTATGCATATTATATACGTATATTTAGTTATATAATTTATGCAAAAATATAATTATATGGTACTGATTTTGAAAGCTCTGCTCAGTGCTGGATTTCCATTCACAAACGTCGGATCATTTCGTTAGCGCTCTGCTTAGAAATGGGAAATCCTCTTGTTTCCTTTCGTTTTTCCCTATGTTTTTTTCTACCCGCTGCTCTTCTGTGTCCTGAAGCGGAGGTAAAGAATTCTATTGGGAACATTTTCTGTAAATTATTTTCAAATAATTGTGGCGACAAGCCAGCGACTGTTTCCAAAGCAAAATCATGTGGATATAATATGGAATGTACGCCCCGATACTTGTGTGATGATACTAATGCCGTAATCAAAGATGGAAGAGCTCTAATTGATTTTCGCGCAGCCGTATTCTCAAGAAAAGACAGTCAGGTCTGTGACTGGTCTGAAGTATGCTGTTCGCTGGCTGATAAGGTGAGAGCTGCAGTAGCTAAGGCAATGGTTAAGTAACGCTCATCATGATAATAATAATTCCCAGAGATCGATTCGGGAGAAGGAATACACGACGAGAGGCTGTGGCTATAGCAATCCGAAGGGCGTCCGAATAACCATAGAAAATGCTGACGACAATAATTCGCAATTTGGCCAATTCCCGTGGATGGTGGCCATTCTGAACAAGAATTGCTCCAGCAGCCAATGTGCATATGAAGTTCTGGGCGGTGGCAGCCTCGTGGCGCCAAATGTAGTTGTGACCGTTGCTCACATCTTCAACAGGGCTTCCTCGGCTTCTAATCTCTTGGTGCGGGCTGGCGAATGGGATATACAAAGCATGGCTGAAGCTTTGCCTCACGAGGACCGCAAAGTGAAGACGAAACTCATTCACGAGAGCTTTAATGTGGAAACCGGCTACAATGACATAGCTCTACTTCTGCTGAGTACACCCTTTAAACTGAACGAGCACATTGACATCATCTGCTTGCCGGGACGGCAGCTCTTCGTCGATTCGAGCCGCTGTCTCGTCACAGGCTGGGGCAAACGTAATCTCGATGATCCAGGCTATCCACACATATTGAAGAAGATCGAAATGCCATTGGTGAGTGATGCCAAGTGCCAGGCACAGCTGCGCAATACCCGCCTTGGCCCCTATTATGAGCTGCACAGCAGTTTCGTCTGTGCCGGCGGCGAGAAGGACAAGGACGCCTGTTTTGGTGATGGCGGCGCCCCCCTTATCTGTCCCACTAGCACCCAGTCTACTCGCTATAACCTGGTCGGCATCGTTGTCGGAGGCGTGGACTGTGGCAATGAGAATGTGCCCGGACTCTATGCAAATATTCATATGCTGCAACCCTGGATCGAAGCTAAGCTTAATCAGTTTTCAATAACAAATTGAATTAAAAGCAAGTAGGAGGCTCTAGTCGGGAGAAAACCCTGAACCCTCTTCTTCCAACACCAAATGCTTCAGCAGTAATCAAAATTAATTCAAAAAGAAAACAAAGTGTCTCCTCGATAGGTCTCGAGCTCGTAATATACCGAACTACTTGCAACTCATTCATCGCTTATATATTCGCTTGGTAGAGATCAGACGGCACTGATCGATTCCAGCGCAAAATAAAACATATTTAAATTACAAAAAAAAATGAGTATTGATGATAAAAAAACGAAATTAAAATAGCAGCACAGAAAACAATACAATGCTGTTGATAGATTTCAAGGCAGACGCGCATGAATGTGTGTGTGTATGTACATGTATACAGAAATTCTTGGAATTGGCGCTTGTTGCCGCTGATAGGAGAAAGGTCAAAACATGTTTTCTTTAATCAATTCTGTGCTTCTTAGCCGATCCTGATGAAATTACCTACAGTGCATCTTATTGAACTTTAGAATATTCGTGTATTATCAAAAAGTCAATTGCATTTAAATTGTGGCTTATATTTGTGGGCAGAATAAATTGGTGTTTTTACTTGATTTATAGCTATGAGGTAGTAGCGGAGAGGTGGTGGTAGCTATAATATGAAAGATACTTGATATATATATACTATTTAGAAGCTACATGTCAAGTTTGCTGACTCTAGCTCTTATTGTATACCAAAATTGCTCAAATAACAGGATTCCGATATTCCTAGTCGCAAGCTCCCGACTAGAACCTCTTACTTGCTTATATTATAAATTGGATATTATATATAAATTTATATTATACCAGCTACTACCCATCTTGATCTCCACTTCTATTTAAAGATATGTTTTGACCCGCATGTGCCACTAAAGAACCTACCAAATAATTTATCACAAAGATTAGTTCGAGGCCGATCGGATGGTTAACAAAAAAGTTTCACACAAACGTATTTTGCGATTTTTATATACATACATGCGGGTTAGACGATAAAAGCGAAATTTTCTTATTCGCATTATGTGATGTTTTGATAAACGGAATATTGTTAATGATGATTCCACCTCATTAATTCATTTTTGCCACGGCTCTGTCATTTGTTATCAGCTACTCGCATACGCACACACATACATATTATAGATACTTGATATATGTATACTATTCTAGAAGCCAAATGTCAAGTTTGCTGACTCTAGCTCTTATTATTTACCGAAATTGCTCAAACAACAGGATTTCGATATTGATTTTTATCGATTACATGGAAACGGGGCAAATTATCGAATATCGGAAACAAACTCGATCTGCGCGGGCACTAGGAGGACTTACAGCTATTTTGGGTTCTGAGATCGTTGCGTTCATACATACGGACGGACGGACAGACGGACATGGCTAGATCGACTCGGCTGTTGATGCTGATCAAGAATATATATATGTACTTTATGGGGTTGGAGATGCTTCCTTCTGCCTGTTACATACATTTGCACAAATTCATTATACCCTTTTTACCCATTTTCAATGGGTACAGGGTATAAAAATCAAAATATAGCTCGTTCAATTTTCAAATGAGAAATAAAGAAAAACATATGTAGATTACACTTATCATTTGCTGCTAGGTGTAATAAAGTGAGTGTATGAAAAAGTTACCAAAATTGGGGCAAGATTTATATAAAAATCCTTTTTTGAATAAAATCAGGCACCTAGAATTTCCTCTCAGTGTTTGAAAGAATTGTTTATATTAAATTCAAAATTATTCACTGCTGAAACTTAACTCTTTGCATAACCAGCTAATTGTCACAAAATTATTTGTTTTTGAATTGGCCAAAAAGTATATTTAGGTACATAATCTAAAGATTTAAGAATGGGTAAGTTAAAATGATATTTGATATGTGCTGAGAAGTGTGTTAACGGAACTTATTCTTCAGACCCGCCGCTGTTTGTGCCATGCGATCTTGAACAATTTCGCGATCCAAACAAGAAACTCGTCAAAGCAGCTGCCTGCGAGGAATTGGACAAGCTTAGCGCCCAGGATGAGATCAGTGTGTCGAGTATTATATCCGCTCTGATAAGACCCATCGAACCGTCCGATGATCAGTATAAGCAATGCGATTGGGAAATCGATCCCAAGAAATTTCTGCCTGTCAAGCAGGCTGTTATTTTCAAGGAGCAGCTGTTCATCTCCAAGTTGCGCAACACCAACTGCAAGCTGAGCGAGAACCTAAAGGTCTTCTTTGAGCGCGAACTGAAGCAGATCGGCAAGTTCTGTCTGAACGTGGAGGAGGCCTACGATGGCTACGTCATCTACAGCAGCAGCAAAATGAAGAAGGGCAAGGGCATTACCGAGTGCGGACACCAGCTGAAGGGTAAATACGATGATCAGTTTCTGTTGATCTGCGAGAAGCGTTCGGAAACGGATCGCATCGATCATGCGGTTGTCGAGAAAACGCTGGAAGTGCGCAACCATGCGGATATGTATCTCACGGCCATACGCGAGACGAAAATCAACGAGGAGACCCAAAGGTTCAAGGCCACCATTGATATCAAGGACCGTGATCATACCTTCGTCCTGGACGGTGGCATACAGGTGCTCATGCGGCATCTGGTCTGTCACAATTTTGTTGGCACCTTCGAGTACTACACGATGAATCTGTACGGCCGGGTGTTGCGCTGCAATCTGGTCGTGCACAAGGATCGCAAGCTGGTGCGCATCTTCTATCGCACCTACAAGAATGCCATCCACATCATCACACAGCAGTGCTTCAACGATGAGCTGCAGGATGTGGCCGAGACCTTCATGACGCCCGAGGGTCGCATTGTGCTCCACTTCTGGCGCGGCTACAACTATTTGATGCACGCCGTCTGCGCCCCGCCCAAGAAAAAGGAGCGCATCATACCCAAGCTGGAGTTGATGTGGCGTCAGAATGTCGTCCTTGCACGCAAGTTTCGGGAACTGAAGGCTCTCAATTATGAAAACACCACCAAATATCTAGAGTCGAACTCTGAATTGGCCGACTTTATGCAGGATTATGTGTTGAATGTGCTGCGCTATAAGCCCAGCAATGTCCTCGAATTTTCGATTATGTTCTTCCAAAACATGGTTGACCCATGATGAAGGCGACTTTGCTAATCACATGAACTTTAACAGAATCAGAAACAATACAAACAACTTTTAACGAAAACCAACTTTAGCGGTCTTTTCTTTAGAAAAGAAAATATGTTTCAATTTCCCCGATTCAATGTAGAAAATTACACATTAATTTAAAGCAAAAATTAAACATATAACTATTTTTCCACTTAAAGTGGTGGATTTATCTGAAAAAGGTGAAAGACGCTTGAGCTGAAAACGAAAAAGTTCTGTGAAACCAATTCCACGCTTAGTGAAAGGCAGCTTCAGCATTACGTATGGTTTGGGCTGTGATCAATAAATCGGAAATTTGTGATCAGAAAGTTTTTGTACTACATTATTGACTCCAGATGGAAGCAGGAATGTAAAACCCATTTTTTGCCAAATTGACTATATTTCGTTGTCCTGTGAGGATAATTGCTTAATTGGTTTCTTCCCGACATTTATAAAGTTTCTTTGTATTTGCATTTTAATGGTTATCCCACATCCATAGGTCAACCCAGCAACCAAATTGAATAACCAAAGCAACCTATCGCATTATTTACAACCCTCAAACAAAATGCTTTGGAATTGTCAGTTACACTCCGAACTTTGTTGGTAGCATTTAACATACGTTGAAAAAAAGTGGAAATTAGTTAAAAATATTTTTTTATATTTGTTTTGTTTTCTGTACTGAAGCCATTTAAAGATGGCGTGTTGCAAGGAGAAGGACCTCTATGCCGGTGGTGGCGATTGCGACAACCAACCTATCGAATTGCATCCAACCTCGGCTTGTCCGGCGCCATTGATCTGTCCCCCGCCACCGGAGATGGGACCCATTCGCCGACGCAAATGGGAACCGTCGCCCGTGGGCATTGTGCCGCCCACAGAGGAAGAGCAGCGTGAGATACAAGAGTATCTGAAGAAAGTGGCCGTGGAGCCGGCACAGGAGCACCATCAGGTGCAGGCGGATCTGCAGGCGGGCATCGATGACCAGCAGCAGCAGCTGCTTGACATACAGCAGGAGCAGGCCCGAAAGGCGCCCATCAAGACGGAGGAAATGCAGTTCGCAGTGAGTAGCATGATGACAATTCCCCATCCCTCTCTCTCTCTCTCTCTCCCTCTCCCCATAGCGTTCCATTAATCCCGATGCGGATAATCTGCACAATCCGCCGTGCTATCTGCCGCAACCAGGCGACGATTTGCCGCCCAAGGATGGGATGACGCCCATGGGACCCATTGGCCACTGGGCCACGGGCAAAGTGGACTGGAGCCCGATGGCGGGTCTGACGGGCACACGACCCGTTGTCGATAGGTATTCGATAACACGTTTTAGCTCGAACGAATGGCGCGCTAAGAATCAACAGACGGTCCAATATGTCAATTCAGTGTTGGACAAGGCCGATAAGTAAGTCATTCAAGCCAACAGATCTTCTCTTCAACTCACTCCTTCACTCACTCTTCAACCTGCACAGAAATCGGTTTAGCTCAACGACCGAGTATCAGCGGCTCACGGCAATGGTGACCAAGACCCAGAACGAGACGACGGAGAAGCTGAGGCAACGCTCGCAGGTGATCTGCAAGTGGAAGAGCACACTGGAGAACGCCATCAGGGCGATGACGGATGAGATCTTCATGGTTGACGAGGAGCGGAACAGGCTGCGCAAGGCGCTCGTAGTGCTCGGAGTGCCCGAGTCCATTGTGAAAGAGTGCATCGAGAAGCGCTGCGGCCGGCCGGACACTGAGCTGGTGCGCGACAATGCCGAGGAGGAGCTGGTCAACGAGCTGGCGCTGATAGCCGAGATCAGGCGGCAGCTGAGCAAGACCATGGATGACTTTGAGGCGCAGCAAATGGAGAATCGCGCGGCCAAGCAGCGTCTGGAGTTCGACTGGAGCGACAAGCAGGAGGCCTACGAGATAGACACCGTGAATGTGGGCTTAAACAATACCTCGCGCACAATTATGTTCCATGTGGGCGCAACGCGCCAGCCGCCGGAGCAGTCGTCGGAAAAGTACTGGGAACACTTCAGCCTCGAGACTCTCGAGGAGTGCGAGAAATGCCGCCAGAGATCCGCCGCGCTGCGCAGCATACTCAACGCGATTCTGTTGAATGGCGCCCGGGATATACGCACTCAGGCCGATGTCGTGGAGAAGGCTCTCACATCGCGCATCAACTGCACACAGGAGGCGGTGCAGCGCTTCGAGAATGATCTGCATCGCGTGCTGCAGGATCTGGCGGATACGGAGATGCGCATCGAGCAGCTCCATGGACGCATTCGCAGCTTCGATGCCGCCATGAAGGTCGCCCAGACGCGCATGCACAATCGCAGCTTCCGGCCGAACGTGGAGAGCTGCCGCGACGTCGCCCAACAGCGCCTCATCGACGAGGTGCACACCATCCAGAGCAGCGTCACGGCCATGCTGCACGAGCTCAAGTCCGCCGAGGAGACAAAGGAGGCGCTCGTCGGCGTCCGCAGCGCCTTGGAGCGCGAGATTATGCTCAAGCGACGCACCCTGTTCGTGGACAGGGATCGCTGCATGGTCCTGCGCTCGCATTACCCATCGGCCAATGCCCTCACCGGTACGGGCGCTTTCTAAGTGTCTTTATATATTTATGTATCTCTATCGCTGTATATCTATATATCTACAAATTCAATGTCCGAAATTTAAAGTCTTAACCCTTGTGTGTCGCATCAATATATTCAGTTAAATAAAATAGTGAGCGAAAGTGAGAATGTTGAATGGAGACTGATTTTGCGCGCTTTCCTCTTTTTCGTTGCATGGCCTGTTGCAATTCTCAAAGTGTTAAAGATTTGAATGTTTGAAGCTGATTTGGTCATTTATAGAGATATTCTTCAGGGTAAGCTGCAATATAATCAGTTCTTTTTCAAGGCGAATATCAATTCCTATAAAAGTTTGTTATTGAAACTGTGAGCCAATGGCGTTCAATGGTAACGCTTAGACTTTCTGCCTCATGACCTCATTTTCCCATTTTCAATACCCCAGAGACTTTGGAGCATTTCCTTTTCTGTCCCAAACATGTGCACAGTTTGTAATTCCCTGACCTTGCCCACGCAGTAACCCAAATCTATGGATTTGCCTAACAATTTGTGTGGAGCAGGCGACTCCTGCTGCAGCTTGCAACAACACGTGGCACTATAATAAATCTTGCCCAGCAAATGTTTTGCACGTATGCGGATGTAACCTACAAACAGACACAAGAGGACGAAAAAAAAAGAAATAAATAGACAAAAGTCGACAGGACATACAGGACCTGGAGACAAGTATGTGACGTGTGTTTTGACTTGGGTTTTGCTGGCCGTCTGTCGCCGGCCGCAGCACGTGGCGTATGAGCAACGTGTGTGAGTGTCACATGACCTTTGCAGGCCTCAAATTCTTGTTGTACAAATAAATAAGACAAATATTTTGAAACCCAACACAAAATAAGCTCAATATATATATGTGTTGTCAAGTGTTGTCTGAAACTTTTTTGCAGCAATTTTAAATTGTGATATTTACTTCTTTCTTGTTCTTGTTATTTGATTTGCGTTTAATTTATTGTGCCGGGCCGCAGAGTCTGCCTCTTCCAAATCCAATATCCTTTCGGACTGTCAAAAGTGTGGCCCTACCCAAAATGCTTACTGCTGAGCTAACTTCCCCTTGAACTCTACTTACGTCTTGCTCTAAATTGAGTACGTGTTGTTCTAGCATTTGGACGTGTTTGGTAAATAATAAGTGCACATGTGCGTATGTGTGTGTGTGTGTGTGTGTGTGTTGTGTGTGTTGGGCAAATTCAGCCTGTTGTTGTCCCGAAGTTGGCAACATATTTCCACTTTTATGGATTTTCAAACGTGTCTGATTGCCATCTAATGTCACTTAGTTGTTTTCATTTTATTGCACTTATTTCGCAGATCTGTTTTGTATGTAATTTTGAAGTTTCAATTCAAACGAAAGATTGTGCAGGTAGAGAGCAGGTTTCAAGACCATAATACGGCTTGGGAGTTGTACATGGAACAGCTTTTCTCATATGCAAATATTTTTAAAATAAAATTACCAAAATATTAGGCAATAATAAGAAATTACTGGAGAAGTAAATTCATAAGTAAATGGTTCTTAACTTTCATTATTCATAGCTACTTTTTCTCTATACTTTCTTAAACTATTTAATTCGGATTCGTTTTCAATAAATTAATTAAGAAGAAATTTAAAATTTCTTAAACTCTTATTCCTAAAGATTTCCTTCATTTTTCTTCTACACTTTTAGGAATTTTCGATGCCAATATGGGATATTTTATAGGATTTCAGAGGGACAAATGTATCTGCAGTCTGGCATTTGAGGTTTTGAGTTATTATGCAAATTGTGCTTAAAGGTGGCAATTCGTGACGCAAAAACTTACACGCACACACACACTGCCCCCTAGGAACACACACCCCCTCGCCTACGGCACTGATATTTTTAACTCCATTGCCATTTTTCATGCATGCCACATGCGGTGTCGTTTTTCGCATTTGCGTTGTTAATATTTCGTAATGCCGGTAAAAATCACAGCATGTGGCCGAAGCACAAAAAAAAATATATAAATAAATGAAAATAGAAAAAAATACCCTAGCATACAATGTGCGCGGCGCTGACGGCGCATGCAAAAATCGGCGCTTGTTCCCGTTGCCGAGGCCCATTGTGTTGCACGTTTTTTTTTGGCACCATGCGGCGTTTGTGCTAAGAAAAAATCTGTTGCATACTTTGTGGAGCTAACAAAAATCTTTATATGTATATTCAGGCATCCCGCAATGCCAGAAAAAAATTGTACATAAAATAATGGAAGTGCGTAAAATGACGCTTTTAAAAAAGTTTTTGTTTTTGGTAAATTTATTGAATAAGGCAGCGTGCACAGAGTTAAATGGCACAAACGTGAAAAAAACTAGAGAACTGAGTAGTACGTAAAACGTGATAATTTGCATAGAATACGCCTACCTATGAAGAAGGCCCGCCATGAGAGCCATGCATGACACGCTTGAGGAAGTGTCTTGCTGGCTGTCTTGCAGCTTGAGCTAATTGGGCATTTTGATTAGACGATGTTCGACATGGTCTAGACAAGACACAATCGATGACATGTCACCAGAGATGTCTTGCATGCTTGTACGTTATGGCCTCGAAGATGTCACTCGGCTGCTTAGCCAAAAATTAAGCTTACTTTCGCTTCATCAGAGTTTGGTGTATGAGTATAACGCATACTCAGACTGCCAGACTGCGTCTACTCGTTGCAGATCTCTGACACAATACACACAAACACACGCACACACACACACACACACACACACACAGGCGGCTGTAGCTGCAGCTGGAGAGAGAGGTGTGTCTACACCTCTGGAAGCTGGAGGCAATAATTTAACTTCAACGCAGCAAGACATGCAATTTAATTTTAACAAAACCTGACATTATCACACGAGCCAAACGGGCCAACATACAGTTGGGGCTGCTGCTGCTGTTGTGAGGTTGAGGGGCGGGAAAGAAGAAGAAGCAAAAAGAGGTTGTGCTGCAGCGCAACGTAGCTGCAACACAAAGTTAGTAACATAATAAGTAGCAATTTTCGGTTTCCGTTTTCCGGGCCAAGCGGCAGCGGCAGCGCCAGCAACCTACCATAAAAATACATAAAATTGCGCCAGAAATAAAAGAGTGAGAGGTGGCAAAGAGGAAAAGCAGACGAAAAAGCAACCCAAAACGAGAATGAGAAACATCAGCCAAAAGGCAGCAGCGGCAACAGCCTGCAGTTGGGTACTGTCTGGAGAAGGAGGGCGGGGGGCGGGGGGCGAAGGGCGGAAGGAGGCGTGTCTGGCTGCCAAGAAAAGTCGTCGCGCATGCAGAGTAAATTGGAATTTTATAGTTGCAACTTCTGCAGAGGCTGGCAAAGGTGCAAGTTGCAGCTCAAAGCCCAGTTATGCTGCCAGCCTTAATCAAGATTGCCAGAAAATGATTTCGCCAAGAATTCGCCAATTTGGGAAAAGGAAATGCTGAAGTTTTCTAGAACATAAATGTATTATAATACTATATTTTAAATATTTTAAGAGCTATTTACTTTTGGTTAACGATAAGATGTTCACTGTTTAGGTAATAGAAAGTTTTTAGGTAAATAGAAAGTTTGTCTGTTTTCGAGAACAGCCCAACTTTTGATCAGCAGAAAGTCGTTTCATACCCCTCTAACTTCAACCTACAGAAACTAATATAACTGCAATAAAACTCTAAAAAAGTTGCTTTGTTTTTTGGCGAAAACATTTACGGAAACATCCCGCTAAGCACAGGCAAATGAAGATGCCGCCGCCGTCGGCGAATGCGGCTAAATTAGTTGCAGGCCACAAAACAGTAAAAGAGAGGAATGGCGGGGGAGAGGAATGAGGGGGGGGGGGGGGGTATCTGGACCGAAAGTTAGTCAAAGCAGCGCGGACGTTGAGGACAACAAAGGTTGTCATTTCGCCTGGGCTCGTTAGCATTTTACAACACTGGCGCAGTCGGCGCATCACGTGTACAGCCCACATAACCGAACGACCGACCGTCCACCCGTCCGCCCGCCCGCCCGCCCTCTGCTCTAAGATGATTTGTGACCAACTTTTTGCCGACGCCCCTGGCAGCCATTTTTGATATTATTTCAGTTGCCGCTGCTGCTGCTGCTACTGCTGCACTTCCGTTTCCGTTTGCGCCAGCGAGTTGCAGCGTTGCATGTAAATGTAGTTTTTTGATCGCTTATCACAGTGTGCATCTTTGTGTGTGTATGTGTGTGTGTGTGTGTGGGGGGTGCGTGTGTGAGGGTGAAGAGAGTTGCCTGGCATAATGTGGGGTGACTGTTGATTTCATCTTTGTTGCTGACTTGTTGACTTTGCCGGGGTTAACTGTTGAAATGTTTATGACTTCATTGTGCTAATAAAAGATATCATTTTCATTGTGCGGCAGGTGGTTGAGTCAGTGCGAGATATAGAGAGAGAGAGCGAGAAAGACAGAGAGAGAGAGAGAGAGAGAGAGAGAGAGAGAGAGAGAGAGAGGGAGGGGCAGTCTAAGGCACGTGCATGAGTGGCAGGTGAAAATGAAGAGCTTTTCGCTTTTTTTATGAACTGCATAAAAATGCTTGGAATTTAGAGTATGTGATTTGTAGAGCTATCAAAAAAATTGTTACTTTGCTGCTTGTTCTTTCTTCTCTTTCACTCTCTCTCTCGCTCTCTCTGGAAAACACTTAAGGATCAAGCTATGTTTCCTTGCTTGTTTTATAGTGGCCATAACCTATAAGAATAATTTTTAATTTCGTACCTGAAATACCTTTGTTGATATATTGGGCATAGTTCGGAAACACTCCACTCTCGTTTATTCAATCACAACTTTGATTCCAATAATTGCAAGGATTACTTGCCTAGGGCAGACTTTTGCATACTTTTCTTATAAAACAGCCAGAAATACAGACAGATGTGGCCACATGAACTCAGCTCAACGTCCTACTTATAGTAATGTCCACATTATGGATGCCTTCCCTGATGAGCTCATGCACTTCTTAGAGGAGTTTTCGAAGGTGCTGGTTCAAACCCCCACAAAACAATGCACACTCTATCCCGCGTACTTTTTAAAAATTCTCAAACGTTTCCTCCTCTTTTATGCATAAGAATACCTTTGTGTTACCTCGAGGGCCTCTAACAAAAAGAAAATCCCTTTGAAGTTCCTCCCTCTCCACCACTCTCTCTCTCACTCTAGTTCTCTCTGTCTCTCTCACTCTCTCCGTCGAATGTCATTCTCATGCACTGTCTAAAAAATAATCAGATTAGCATACGTTTAACGCGGCAAGCGCACAAGCCACAAGCCGTAACCCAAGCCGAGAGCAACAACTGGCAAGGGGGAAAAGCGCTGGAAAATCAGCAGCTCGTGTCAAAAGCATCAACCGATGCCGACTAGCCAACAAACAACGCGGCATATACGCAATGCAATGCAATGCAACGCATTTTGGTTTTTGCCAGCCTGCTGCAGCCACCGCACCTGCCCCGCCACCCGCTAAGCCGTGCCTGGTCAGCGCGGCTAATGCGGCGTGAATATGCAACGTGGACAACGGCAACCTCTGCGGCAACAACAACAACAACAACAGCAGCAACATCAGCGGTCCACGTTATCATCATCAATGCACGAGGCCAGGTCAAAATATTTGTGCACCACCCAGCTAAAACCCACTCCCCGCCCCCAGCCCAGCCCAGCTAATGTGCGGTCTGTTGGTCGTCGAAAGATTAGCCAAGGCTTCAGCTCTGCGCCCTTTGCTTGCTGTGCGCGTGTGTGCGCGTGTGTGTGTGTGTGCGTGTGTGTGTGTAGCGTGTGTTTTGGGGCTGAAAAATCAAAATTGCGGCACGCGCAGATTGTCTGGCATTTTATTACCTGGAATGTTGACGCTGAAGCTGTAGAAATGATTGAGATTGAATGACATGCCAGCGCTGATGACAAGCCAGAGACAGAGACATGCCTTTACACACGCACACACACCCTTACACACACACACACAACCTCTAAAATATGCAGAAAAGCAGCGCTGCGCCAAAAAAAAAGGTTAAAAAGCAAATGCCATTTAAATGCAAAGCATATTTTTGGCAACCGAAATGACTTGAAAACGTGTTAAAAGCGACTGCGGCAAGTGGCAGGTGGCAAGTGGCAAGCGGCAAGTGAAACTTGAACAAGGCACCTGTAAATAATCAAGCTGACATGCGTAAGCTACCCAGGGCCCAACATATGGCAATGCCTGCTAGGCACTAGCATATCATTTTGATATTTATACAGAACTGGGAATACCCTCAATGTGACTGTTCTCACCCTGCCTCGCTCTCTCTCCATACACAGTAAAAACAGATAGAATAGTTAATAGAAGTTAATTCTAAAGATAGTGTCTGATACTAAAGTATTATATCAAAAGAAAATAAATAAAAATGAAAATAATTACATGATTTCGAAATACTTTAAAACCTACGATATTAACAACTTTGAGCAGCTTGTGCAACCGTTTACAAATATTAAACAGAGAGATTAAACTTAAGCCCTTTCATTTGCAACATTTTAGATTCATTCATCTATACACTCTCAGATACACTCTCAGAAACAAGTTCCGATTACTTGTGGCAAATAAACATTAATTTATTTAATTGCAGTTAAATATGAAGCTTGGCTTAAATAACAATGACACCAAACGCAAATTTTTTCTTTATATAACACTGGAACACTTTTGAACCGGTTCACAACACATAAAGCTGAAGAAGAAGAAAGACAAACAATTGGCCTCTCCCCCTGGTTAGTTGCCCCAACAACAAACCAAATGCTCATTTGCACATTTGGCGAGGGTATCAGAAAAAGAGATGTGAAAAGTGAGAAAAGAAAAGGAAACTGCGCGACAGAAGAGAAAAGTGGGATGAGAAAAGAAAACTGCGCCTGAGATGTCGTCGTGACTTTTGAGCTGTCAAAAACTTTTGGTGCTGTCGCCAAATGTTCCCACGCCTGCTGTGAAAGTGTGTGTGTGAGAGTCTATGTGTGTGTGTGTGTGTGTGTGTGTGTGTGGGAGTGTGTGTGCGAGTAAGTGTGTGCTGGCATTGAGCTGTTTGTTTTTTAATTGTTTGCACTTAAGTAGAATTTGCCATCTTTTGTATGTTTGTCTGCGTCTGTCTCTGCGACTGTGTGTGTTTCTGTCTGTGTGTGTGTGCTTGCTTGGGGGTTATGACTTTTGCGAAAAGTCGTTAAGAGAGCGCTCAAAGAAATTACAGCTACAAAGTATGATATGTTTGGAAGGAAAGGTATGAGATGCAAATGAATGCGAAGATTATGTGAATGTGCGATATAAAAGAAAAATGACAGCATTTAAATACCCCGAAAAGAAATTCTTTGATGATTGTTTACATTTTGCTGTAGACAAAATAAATGCCTGAGCTAATTGCAGTTGCAGTACAAATAATATAATTAATTATGATTATGCTTAATTAAAGAAATATTACGCTAGACTAAATGAGGTTTATATATACGTTGGTTTTTCTTTAATATGATTATTATATTTTTTAATTGAAAATCAAACTTGATTTATTTTCACATATATTATAATTAGTTTATAAATTCTTTGCATCAATCTGTATAAAGTTGCTTTAATATTGATACTTTATTGATTAAGTTGCTCTCAAATGTATTTGAATATAAAGTTCTTTGAATCCATAAAAATAATTACTAAACGATTGAAGATGTGGCACACACACACACACATGAGTCTCTTTAGAGACTGTTGAAAGACATGCCCCACACACACACACACACGTGCACACACACCTGCGCACATATCTGAATGGAGCAGCAATCAAATGGGATGGCAATTGACTTATCTGTGCGGTCAGGCAATGGCAAAATGTTTGCCCCGACAAACATTACAATCTGCAACGCTCCGAATCTCAATCCCAATGCCAATCCAAAAACCAAACTAAACCGAATCGAATCGAACCGAAAATGCAATCGGATCGTTGGCGTAGTCTTTGGTAAATTGATACACACATCAACGTTGCTTGCAACGTTTCGTTGCAATAGCCGCAAATCTTTGCGTAAATCAAGCAAAATGCAAATTTTACTAAAAGCAAAAGAGCACGCAAAATAACAGAAGATATCTGTGAATTGCCGAAGATTAAATACCCTTTTAGGCACAGCAAAATCGAAAAACATGCTGCTGAATTTGAACCGGCGACCTTTTACTAGTTAGTCTAATGCTCAGACGCGTTAGCAGCACATGTACAAGTTGTCAAGATTTTCCTTCACTGTTCTATTCGACCCAAAAGAAGGCTTAGGTTCAAATTTCAGATTCTTAGTTCCCATAGTTTTGGTCTGTTGCCAATCAGTCGGCCAGTCGATCCCTTTTATATATTTATATGGATGGGTTCGGGGAAGTCTGCTTGGCTTACAAATGTCGTGCTCAAATTTGAATACCCTTCGCGAGGGTAAATAAAAATGTAACGTTCGACCACAAAGAGAACTGGAGAGAAATAAAAAAAAAAAATGTGAGAAAAACAGGGCGCAACCGACAAACAGAGAAAACACAGAAAGCTGAAAGAAAATCGTTGTGCAGCTCAAATGGCTGCCAGGTAAAACGATAAAAGGAACGTGGAAAAGGGTGGAAAAAAAAAGGAGCAGCAGGAGCAAAAGTGCCGCAAAGTGTGCAACGTTTTGGGCAAAGCAAAGTTCTCGACCAACAAAACCTTATTTATCACACGTAACGCCACCTCCGACCTCCGCCCCCTCGCTGCTCTCTATCCCCCTCGCCTGGCAATTTTTCGAACCCATTTTCGGTTTTAGGAAATCGCATACGAATGCTGCCCAATTGGATTTGGTTAGCCCGTGTCCTGCCCTGTCGAGCACCTGGCCAACAGCTGCTGCCTGCATCCACTTGCACCTGGCTCTAACATTTGGTTTTTGGTTACTTTCCCGCATGCCGCCACCCTCCCTCCCGCTGCTTTGCTCGAGATGTTAAGAGCGTGAAAACTGGCAAATACAACTCGCACAATTTTGCGCAAATTTGGACCGACTTTGGACTCAAATTTCGTTTTTGGACTTTGATTTGGTTTGATTATTTTTTTTTTGGTTTTTCGTGGTTTCTAATTTTCAGTTGAGTCCGAGACGAAGGGAAGTTGCTTTTTTCTGTGGTCACTTGATTTTTACCAGTGTAAAGTTGTGCCTCTATTTGACTGTGAGATCAGCGACTTTGCATATTTGAGCTTTGGATGCTTACAATTTGAAACATTTTAGTTCAATTTTTAGAAGGCACAAAAATATTTTCAGCAATATAACAAATGGAAATAAATTATTACTCACTCAGTACTCTGACATATTTTCCGACTGGTGTCGTGATTTCCTAATTATTGTAAAACTTATTCCATCCAATGTTCATTTATTTTGACGAGTTCCATTTCTTAAATTCCTCGTTTAAATTCGTGTTTTGGGATCTGAAAATATATAGTAGGAATATAATGAATAAGATAATTATAAAATATGTAATTTTTTTATCCAAATCGCATTCGACGAGTCAGGTCAAATAATAATGCAGGCAACAATTCTTAATGTTTTTCTACTGCATAATTTTTACACTTATTTTCCACAATTGACAGTGGATTACGTTAGGTCTACTAAATATGTATTGTAGCAGAGACTGCTGAATGTGATCAAAAAACAATTTAATCGAAAATTGCATCCTTAAGCCATTAAAAAACTGTCCAAACAGTCAGTTGCTTATCGTAACGTGCAAATTATATATGATTAAGCTCTTCTTACTTTTGCTTACCTCAGCAGCTGCAATAACAAAAGACCACTTAAAAGTTTTGATACATGTGCAATACATACATAGAAAAGGCTTAGATTCACCCTTTGAGCCTGAAGCTCATCTTGCAATCTAACTTTTAACGTAAATATGAACATTTTCGTGCAATTCGAAACTTTTATATTTGCTCTTCTCCTCAGAATTGAGCTTCTGCTTCTTCTAGCCAAAGCACCTAATCAGTCACTTTGAAGATTGCCGCTCCAACTTATTTTGATATATATACCAGCAACTATATTTCATTGTTAGGTTTTCTTGCAGCTGGCACCTGGCTGGCAACTGGCTGGCACCTGGCTGGAGGCCCTTCAACTTTTCGCTCGTTTTAAGTTTAAACAAAATGAAATTTCACATGCAATTTAACGTAACGAAGTCGCTTCTGCGGGCCATTTTTACCTCATTTAATTAAGCAATGGCCGCGAAGAGGCAAAGGGGGGTAGGCGGCAGGTGTGAGAGCGGCATGTTATATTTCAATTAGTTGGTCGGAAAAGAAGCTGCCACTAAGTGAAGCCATACAATGGCCAAAATGTGGGCGAGGAGGTGTCGGGCGGCGGTAAATGGGCGTTGCAAGCAACCTGTGCAAAATAATTAACTGCATGCAACAATTTGCATGCCACGCCTAACTAGCAACTGCGGCAACTCTGCCAACTGCCAATCGAGAGTGACAGACGAGGCTCGGCACGGGCTCTGCTCTGGCCTGGACTGGGGCTCCGGTTCGGGCTCTGGATCTGACTCTCACTCTGGCGAAACGCTGATGAGGCATCGCGTGTGCAGAGCGCCAAAATGAAAATCTGCATTTAATTTATTGATACAACAACAGCAACAAAAATCAGTGAGAGGGCCATTGTAAAGCACGACTAGCAGATACCCTGTGCACAGCCAAGAGTTGCCTTCAATGGAAATTCGAACTTTCTCTGACGGATAGGGTATTGATTGGGTGATATTCGAGAAGCTAAGCTCTAGCTCTTAAACTGAATGAGATATGCTCAAATAGCGTAAATTCTAAATCGATCTCAAAGTAAACTACATAAACTTGAGAGTAGGACCTCTGCTGTCAACCAATATACTCGCTTTTGGCCACTTGCAGTGGTTACAGGGTATAACAGCAGCAACAAAAACGTTGACAGGCAACAACGAAAGTTTTGTTGAGGCTTTTTATGGGGCGCTGCACGGCGGTGGCGCCTAAATGTATGCAGCGTAAATTGTTAAATGCGCGCTTAATCTGCATGTGACTCGGATAAGGGGTGGGGAAGGGGGCGGCGGAGGGAGTAGATAGGTTGAGATATAGGCTGTACGCCTAGTGGGGCGTGGCCGTGTTTGGCTATGCTGCTGACTGCCACGAAATTGTTTCATTTGCCCATTAAAATGTACAGGCGCAAATTTAAGCACTTTATTGGTTTTTCGTAACGCCCAACCACCTCCCCACCCCTCCCCTTCTCCTGCCCCCGCCTACCCTTCTCTACACCATTAGCAGACTTGCAACATGCCACAATGGCCCAGCGCTGCGGCTGTTTGCCACGTTTGCATATCTGTTTTTCATGTTCACAATCGCTAATCGTTTGCGTCTGTTCGACTCAGTGTCCAGCCTGTGTCTGATATTGAGGAAATTTTGGAAAGGTCGCTTTCCATTTTTGGGCATTGCGCGACTTTAAAGCAGACAACTAACTAACTAAAATTTGAATTAACCACAAGCCAGTCTGCAGTATCTGCTCTGAGTAGCATTTAAAGCCTTTCTTTTCGTCATTCGCTTTCCTAACAAACATGAATGTTCGCTTTAAGCCTAACAACTAAATGCTTTTATTTTGCAGTATTATTTTGAGGCGCTTTCCCATTTCCTCAGTAGCAAGCACTCATAAATTTAAGTTGCTCGCTGACGTCACTCGTTTATTATTTTTAGTTTGGACTAAAAAATGTTTTGTTGACTTTAGTTTTTTTGTTTAGCTTCAGCTTTGAACTGCACAGTTTTTGGCAGTTTTTGGCAGCAGGCCAGAGAGAGGTTCTTATACAACTAGTCTTTCTATATATCTATTTGTTGGAGCCCTAAAAGCGACTCGTCGACCTTTTTGATTAGATTACGCAACGTAAAACTGGTTTGCAAATTGAATAAATGACTTTTGTGTTGCCAATATAAAACGTGTCTGCAATTTTTGATTAGTCAACAAGCCAGCGCGTGGTAGACGAGCCCTGCAACCCCCCTGCAACCCCCCCCCCTAAACTCAAAAAGCCCAACCAAATGCCTGCAAAAAAATGTTTTTAGCTTGAATTTTGCGCTGGCCCAGGACACACAGGACTCTTTACCCTCTTTTTGGGGGAGCAGGGGGGCACGCAATGTCATTTGTCAATTTTGCTCGGGTCATTTTTGGGTGATCGCTTTGTGGTGTACGTGAGCGCTTGTTGTTGTTCTTATTGCTGTTGTTGTTGTTGTTAATGTTTGTGGACCAATTAAAATTCATTAAACGTAAATTAACATGGAAGTCGGAACGCATTATAAATTAGGTGGAGCAGCACGGAACACAGCAATGAAGCGCAGCGAGTTGCAGGCAAACAGAATTTGAAATTGGCTAAAAATTGTTTTGACAGTCGGTTTGCCTTTATTTTGGACAGCTGCGATACAAGACTTATAGAGATAGGGACAGAGAGAGAATTCTATCGAAATGTACGAATAAAAAGGTACTAGAACTTTTGAATAAAGAAGTTAACGAGTTAAAAGTTTTGAAACTATAACGGAAATATTAGAAAACTAGACTCGAAAAGCAACTGCTGGAAGCCTATAAAAAGTAAATAGAAAATTCAGAAAAACTTGATTTTTATGGAGTATACTAGCGGGTATTGCCCGGCCTTGCCCGTTGAACGTTTATTTTAGATATTACATTTCCACTAAGTACACGCCCTGTTGATGTACAATTCTATTTAAAAATAATAATAATAAAGAATCAAGTGTTGGAATTAAAGTTTTCCGCCCATGTTAGTCGTGCGGTGAGAATCTTGAAGCTGAAGTACAAACTTTCGTTCATTTCCCTCCCAACAACGTATCAAATAAATTTTCACAAAGATCTTTGAAAATGAGTTTGAGGCCGATCGGATGGTAAACAAACAAGTTTCATACAAACGTTATTCTGTCAGTCAGTCAGTCAGTCAGACAGTAAGTTAATCAGTCAGTCAGTCAGTCAGTCAGTCAGGACACACGGTTGTATATAAAGAGATAATAGCTACGACTTTCGATTTAGTTCTTTCCACAAAACAATGGGAAAAACCTTAAGAATATTGAATATACATATATTCATAAATGATAAAAAAAAAGGCAAACAATAAATAAATATAAATTACAGGGTATTCTTATAAGAAAAAGTCTACATAAAAAGTGAGCTGGGAAAGTGAATATTCAGAACTGATCTACCCGTGGGTATCGTATAACATCATGGTAAATAAATTAATATAAAGACAACGCAGAGTTATTTTATTCATTTGGCATACAAAGGTGTGTCGTCTTTCTCTCTCTCCTCCTCCCCCTCCCCACTCTCTACAGCTCTTCCCTTTTATATGGCTGGCTATTTCTCGGCAATTCGTTTGCCAACTTTCGCGAAACGTTAAAATCCAATTCAAGCTTAATGAGCTGTGTAATATTTGCATTTCGTTCACACGCTTAACACTAATTTGTGCACTTCGTAGGGCCAAAAAACTGGGCAACGATTTGATTTTTCTTGGCAAAGTGCCGCAAAAAAAAAGACCGGAAAAAGCTGAAAGGACGCCCCGTGCAGCAGAACGGGCGGTTCCCTATTTTTTTGCGGACATGGCAATTGCTTGTCGAACCAGATGTAAGAGTCGAAGAAAGGGTAGCTGCAGGCGAGGGGGTTAGAGAGTGTGCGGGTGTGTACTGTACACTGAGAAAAACCGTAATGGGAGGCCAAAGAGTTTGGCATATTGGATTAGTCTGGTTGTCAATCGTTGGCGCACATAAATCTATTACGGATTGTGCAAAAAGCGTAACGGAAACGCAAAACGGAAATCAAAAGCCATAATTCAATATTAAATCACTCATACGCCAGGTTAAACCAATTGCAGCAGCACCCGAAATGGATTTTTTGGCCAACAATTAGTGTGGCAGTTCGAGTTATGAGTCATGAGTGTGTTTGCGTGTGTGTGTGTCTGTGTGTGCAGCTTTTAGCCAAATGAAAACCTCAAATGCCTTGCGCTTTGGCCAATGGCAAAGTCCTCCTTGGCCAAAATCAAAATCAAACAAAATATTTCAAAATAACAAATGTGTCCTCTGCTCCACAGAGGAGCAGCTTCGACGGCAACTTCTCCGATGACAAAGTGCTTGCAAACGCACAATATTTGTCTAGGTCATGCATATCACTGACACCCCCCCCCCCCCCTCCCAATTCCACACCCCTTTTCCCAAGTTAAATGCAAACACAAATGCACACAAAATGCAGGACATATTAATCAGTCAGAGGTGTAAAACAGGGGGGCGGGGGGGTTTCAATTTTAGATTTGGATTTTGGTCTGGAAAACAAATAAATTGCAATTTGCGTAATTCCAACACCTTGAGGCGAAAACAAGACTGCGCCAATCAAGGCTGCCCGACTAGTAAATACCCTGTGCGCCTAGCTCCCAACTCCTCAATATTAAACATATTTCTGTTTAATTAGCCATATTTATTGTTTAATTTATTTTAATTTTTTGATAAATGTGTGCATGAAGCAGAAAAATAGCTAAAAGAATTCGTGAGTTAAACAAAAAGTAAAATATGTCATATTCAAGAAATATATACTACTAAAAATATTTTGAAATAAACTTGTTTTGCACTAAAAGCTTTGATCTAAAATTGACGTTTAGCGATTAGTGACATATATACTTCATATACATTTTTATGGCTTGCAGGGTATTAAAATCAATGCACGCCAAGTCGTTGCCTCTCATTCGTGCACGCACTTGCTCTCTCCTTCTCTCTCTCTCTCTCTCTCTCTCGGTTGTTTGTTTGTTTGCGTGTGCGGCGTGTCAGGTGTGTGTGAAAATATTTACAATTAAACACAATAGCTACTTGCAAAGAGCTGCATTTGCAATCGCTGCAAACGTTTGCTCCTTGAGGCAACCCCAGGCCTGAGCTGCATATTTGCCTACATTTCAGGCAAGTACGCAGCATTGTTCGTGCTGCTGTGCATTGTGCGTGTGTGAATTGAAAATTGAGCCATCTCAGGTAAGTCATACGCTATTTGATTTTAATTACATCAAATTTATTTGCTCAGTGATTTTTGTGCAAAGCTCGTTACCATCAAAGGCCAAAATGGTTCAATTTGTCCAGAGGCAGCGGAGAATTCGAGAATTTCGAATTGTTTGGCACGTGTATGCGTCTTAATTAGTGTAGAAAGATGGGTGACCAAGGTAAATCACAATGCTTATATTAATTATAAGCTATACACATATTTATTCTTTGTTTACTTAAATCCAGAATTGAATTTCAAATGAAACAACGCTCTTTCTTTGAGGATAATAACTTGTTAAGAACAGATCAAAGTCTAATTTATACTCTCTCTCTCTGTCTCTCTCTCTATATATATCTCTCTCTTCCTCTTGAATATCATGTGAAACAGGTTCATTTATGCAGCAATAACTTTTATCTTGTGATATGCTCAAAACTAATTATTTCGAATCTTATATATGTATTTTATATATAACTTCACGGGCGGCAAACAATAAAGAAGGCCAACGACTGAATAAAATATACAAATTAAACAAAGTATAACGGCACGAGCTCCAGTCAGTTAAAACGATTTTTGAATTATAAATACGTACATAGAATGCAAACGAACAAAGGCACACAAGCACAGACTAAATTGTCGCAGAGAGGCTCGTTGACCCACAAGTACAATAATAACTAAGAGAAGATAACTAAGATAATTCGCACGCTCACACTATCCGCACTGCTCGCACCCAGCATCGCCGCTCTCACACGCGCACACAACAAAGAAAATAAAAGAAAAGAAAGAAATAACTGCAAAATGGCAAAAGCAAAATAACTTTATCCCCTCCCGCTCAGACACTCTAATAGGCACGCTCACTGTAAGTGTCAACGCACTGATCTGTGCGTCCAGCTGACACATATACACACATACGCACACATATTGTTAAATACATATAGATCATAAGCTCAGATAACTAAAATAATTTCATCGCTCACACATTCCGCACTGCTCGCACCCAGCATAGCCGCTCTCACACTGCAAATTGGCAAAAGCAAAATAACTATATGAATAACCCCTCCCGCTCAAACACTCTAATAGCCACGCTCTCTGTAAGTAACTCCACCATTCGGTCCCCACGCATCACCTACATATATCAGCGCGCAATGCAGCCGACACATACACACACACATATTGTTATAAACATATATTTCTTTTATACATATTTCTAGGCCCAGCCAGTATGCTCAACAAGGCAAGACGACAAAGATCACATAACCAAGCGCTGCAAACACAAAAAGTAAAGCGACTCAAAAAAAATTAAAATCAAATTAAAATCAACTAACAATGCGCGCTCTCCTGAATAGGTTTCTGCCTGCACTTCTCACACATCACACAATTAAGTGTCCACTCTTTTATTAAAGCTCTCTGTCAGCGCGCTAATCTGTGAGCTTGCGCACATGTGTACATACATGCATACATATATACAGTCACATTTTTTTTGCTGCGCCTTTGCTATTCCTAATGTTATTATAATATTTTACCTGGATTTACCTGGTGCTGCTTAGGCCATTTTTTCTGTTTGATATTATAATTTAAATGAATTAAACTATAACTTTAACATAAGTAATACCGGTAAAAAAACTTGGTGCACATTAAAATGTAAATATTTCTGTGAGGGTATGTCACATACATAATTTTTTTAGTATAAGCCTCGCCTGGTTGCAAGTACGTATATTAAAAGCTATTAACACACACACGGCACGAGCTCATCGCGTTTTGTTTATTATTTTTATAAAATTATTTTATTCACTAACACAAAAATGAAAACGAGCAATTGACGGAACAGACGCCGACAGACTAAATCGTCGCATAGAGCTCGTGCCTACGTCCGCACCAATACAATAAAAATAAAGAACAGATAACTGAGATAATTCCCACGCTCACACTATCCACACTGCTCGCACTTTAAATAATGGCTCTCCACTGGCATGAGTAACAAAGTAATGCGAACCAAAAGGAACACTGCGATAAAGCATAGACGAAATAAATATATGAATTCCCCCTCCGCCCTTACCGACAACAATTCTCGCTCTCTTCAATTGCAATAATTGAGTGTGTTCATTGCCCGTGTGACAGCCCTCTGCCCCTCTGCTCAGGCGCTGATCAACGTCTAATGCCACCGACGTATACACACACACACGCACACCCATTGACATGTGTGGACATTTAATTTATTTTCGTCGTTTTAGTTATTTTGTTTTGTTTGTGTGGCTCAGTCAATTTTTGAACTAAATCGTGCATTAAAACTGTAAGCCGCACTTTATCTGCATAATTAATGCACTCTTATTTTCAGTTAATCAATTGAAAACACTTTATTTACATGGCTCTCTCTCTCTCTCTCTTGCTTTCTTCATAATACACCGACCACATGGGCCACACAAGCCGCAATTAGAAACCACTCAAACTGCCTTTTGGGAGCTTATAAAACCATCAACACGCCGCATTGATGTCTTTATGACCAGGACAAGTTCCAAGACGGGTCACAGAGGCTGGCCCAGCATTAGGCCAGTATCCTCAGGGGCTAACCTCAGTGCTTAGCAGCAAAGCACTCATGATGAATGCAACGGCGGGGGGTGGTTGGCTACCTATGCTATCCAAGCAACTCCCCAGCTTAACCCTTAAATACACATTTTCAGCAATTTTAAAGGCTCTCTTCGCAGCTGCTTCCTCCACGTTTCTCCTACGGCTGTGGCTTAAAAGCTTTAAGAGAATTTATAGCGCGGCCAAACGAAAACACTTCAAAAGCGCTCTTTCTTTCTTTCTTTTGTGCTAGCTTCGTGCGTATAAAAATTATACGGCTGGGCGTTAAATGGAAGCAACTAAAATAATAACAAGCCAAAGAACTAGTTAAAGTTGTATGGCTTCAATGGCTCAACTAGAAGATATCCTGTATTCTATAGTCTAAGAAATAAACAGAAAATGGTGTTCTATATGATGATGGGTTCCTTAATGCTTGCTTTATGATTACAAATCAATTTCAGCTCTTTTGTATATTTTATTTGGTAGGGTATATGCAACAACAATACCACCTATGTAATTTATAACAGGGTATAAGCAAGAACAACAAACAAATTAACAGCAATAAGCAACAGTCAGCGCCATTAGCACTGGGTACGTCCCCAGGCAGAATGCGTAGGCATGTGCGTGTGTGTGCCTATGTGTGTGTGTGTGTGTGTGCATGTGTGTTACACACACATAATTTACAAAAAGAATTTCATGCTGAAAGCAACGCCAGGCTGCGAATATTCTTCGGCAACTGCGACTGCAATAAGTCAGCTGGCTGGGCAGGCAGAAAGCTGCTGTTGTTGTTATTATTACTGTAGTTGTGCAGTTGCCGTTAGATTTGGCCAGTTGTTAGCAAGCTTTCAATATTTTCACACTTTTGTTTTAGTTGTAAGCTGTTGCTCTAATGGTTTTTCTCGCCAGTTTGTGTCTCTAAGCAATTGTAATGCACAAAAATCCAATACCAAACAACATGTGTGTGTGTGTGTGAGTCAGTGTGTGAATGTGTTGAAAGTAAATTGCCTTCGGGTGTGCGTAAGAAAATAAAAAAAAGGACAACTGCAAATGCAACGAAGGCGTTGCCAGGACAAAGCGCCTGCTGCTGCTGCTGCTGCTCTGGGCACAAAATATTTGTTGTCCTTTGGGCTGCCTTGGCTGCAAAATATATGGCCTTGTGGTTGTTGTTTTGGCCAGCAATTTATGTGGCCCGGCAGCAGCAGCAGCAGGCAACGGGATTTTGCCCGCTCAGCATTGGGTCACATATTGTTTTAAATGCAATTGTTTTAAGTTTTCATTTGTTGGGGGCAAAGCTCTTCGACCTGTGTGTGTGTGTGTCTCTCTCTGCATGTGTGGCCGGAAGTGTTAAAAGCTTAGATTTTGTTTCCGCAATTTAATAACACAATTGCACCTATTTAAATATGTTCCATATAGTTCCTAAATTTATCCTGTCCTGACTTCAATATTTATTAAGATGTCAAATTGAATTATGTTTATGCTTTAAAAAGCCTATTTAAAATCTTTGTTATTTATTTTATAGAAATGTAATTAATTAAGCCTTAATTAAAATTTTTTTCAATATTAAATTTGAATATTTTATTTAAATGTATTTCAATATATGATATAAATAGTAATTGTTTCTAATAAATAATTAAGTTATTTGTTATGTAAAGAATTTGATATTATAATGTATTTAAATATTCTTTAGTTTATTATATTTGAATAAATAATTATTGTTCTATTCATTATATTTAGTTAGTATATAATATTACATAATTAATTCGTTAATTTGTTAAGTCAATGTATTTAAGGATATCCAGATTTCCATATTATAAATATTATATCATATATGTACCTATTATTTATATTTATCTTATTTTCTTTAAAATTTAATTATATTAAAAAATGAATTTATTTGTAATGCATTTTTGAGAATTGAAAAAATAATACAAAATTGCAATTTGAGTTTTTTTTTATGTGCATAAAAAATTGTTTATATATTTTCTAACGACAAAACAATTCTTGATAGAGATTTCCACCGTTTATTAAAAATGTTTTCAGTAATCGACGCACTTTAAGCACAAAACAAAAGCAGCAATAAAATAATTAGAATAATGTTTTTTTTTAATAATATATTCTAATAAAATATATTACTTTGTGCTGCAGTTTAATTAATTTTCATGCGATAAAAGCATAAATAATTCATGGATAACAAAAGAAATTCATTTTTTATTGGCAAAGCAAAAAAAATTTGGTAAAGCAAACAAAGCGAAAGTTTTGGAATGCAAAACCTTTCAATTTGTTGCTAATACCCGTCATTTTTTGTACAAAAATGATATTAAATAATATGCATGAATAATGTATATATACATTTTATACATTTCAATAGAGAATGTAACTGAAAATCCGCGAAATAACTGTGTGCATAGCCAAGAGCTAGTTATTCAATGAGTTGGCCCTAATTAATGTCGCATCAAGCGTTTGGATAAACAATTTAGCATAACCAATTGCAATTGCAATTGATTTATGTTAATTACTGTTAAACAAAATGCGCCTCGTTGATTGCTAAATTGATTTCAAATCAAATGCAAATACAAAAAGACGCAATAAAAAATATTAAGTTGACTGCAAATCGGTAAACACGTCTCGTTAATGACTATCTATTTGACCCACAGATTGACGTCAACCATCGGAAGGCAAATCGATAGATAAACAAGATGAAAAGAGATGTTAGTGGGAAGTGAAAAACTGTGACCACTGTGCACAGTGGGCGCTTTTACTAATTGCCAGTTTCATCAAGTAATTGTCAACTGTGACTTTTGACAGTCATGAGTTAAAACATGTTCATCTGTCCGCATATTTTTTGTGTACTATTATATTTACTACTGTGACTATAATATAGTTAAAGGCTTGAGGCACCTGTTGATTGAAGTCTGGCACAGATCAGCTGGCGTCTAACTATCTACTTTAATTTTATAGAATATCCCAAATCAATCCCATAATCAATATATTTATTAAAACCCTTTTCGTTCAGCCATTATATATGTCCTGTTTATAGAATTTGTAGTAGAAAGCAGATGTCATATAAGCCGACAATCAGCTTAATGTTTAATAAGATTAACTCAACAATCTGCTTAATGATTAATAAGAACAAGCATATTATCTGGTAATATCACATATGAACAGGGTTTTAAGAGAATGTTTGTCTTCAATAAAATAAACTGAATTATTCTTTTGACGAAAGCCACGAAATGTCCTCATTCTGTTTAATTTTGCATACCCTTGTAGAGGGTATTATGATTTTAGCATGAAATGTGTAACGCATAGAAGGAGTATATATATTCCAGATCAGCGTCAACAGGCGAGTTGTGAACTAGTCTCGCAGTCTTAAAGCTATCGTCTTAAAACTATATCACATATCGTTCCGATATGCTGAGAATTAAGTGCTTGAATGGAAAACTTACTGTCTATCAAGATATCTTAACCAAACTCTGCACTTGTTAGCTTCACAATGCTCGTCGCATATAGGCAACATTTTATCAACTTCGGAATACTATATCATATAGTTGCCATAGGAACGATCCGTCGAAATGTAGGTTCTATATGGGTAATATACTTTTTCCTAAGATATTTTTGCACAAAACGCAGCATTTACTTTTCTCATATATCTGATGTAAGATCTACTGCGGTTTCCAAAGATATCTCTTTCTCGTTTTATTAAATATTTATTAAATATTTCTATAAGTTTCCTGCAAAAAGCAATCATTACCGTTGCAATCATTATCATTGGCAAATAAATGTATTGAATATCACAAACAGTTAAATAATTTAATTTGTATGTCCAGTAGTTCAAGACCTGCAATTATTATATTTTTACTAAAAAACCGACATACCTTTTTAACTATTCATGTATAATTAATAATCATGTAATAATTAGTAATATATGAATTTATAAATAAGCAAAAAATAATATTTAAAACAAAACACACTGTATAACCAGTTTTTTCTATACTCAATTTAAGTGTCATTATTTCTTGTTCTCCTGTTTTAGGTTTACCTTTATAATTCCCAACTTGTTTTAGCATTTAAGCCAGCTATCCGGCGTACTGCTTTTTATGAGCCACAGCTCAATTAAATGCCCCCTAATTAACTCTATACACAACAATCTGTACAATATGCTGCTCTTCTGCTGTAATTGGTTCTCTCGGTTTACATTCTACACTTATATAATCGACACGTAATTATCACGCTTTACCTGCAGCATG